TTCCTATTTTCTATTCTCAATTTCCTCATCTGGCTAGTTTAATATCTGATTTGACACATCCAATAACTTTGTCCGTGGTTCATATACTATTTTCTGTTGATCCCTTGTGTTTTTTGTTTATCTTTTCATATCCCTCCTATGTTTTAAGTGAAGGTTGGGCAATCCTACTTCCGTAGTGGTAACTGCCTCGGAAACCCAAGGAGGGGTCGCTAGGAGTTGGGGCCGACTCGATGGCAAATAACAACAACAACATGTTTTAAGTGAGTAATAGACATTTCATAATAAAAGGCCCTAGATGAACTGTTATAAATGCCCAAATATCAAAAGTATATGATTCATACATTAGAGATGGGAATCCACACTCAAAGATCAGAAACCATTGACTATACAACACAGTCATAAATTTTATGTGAAATAACACAATTTTTAATTGTTGGTCAATTACTCAGTTAAAAAATAGCAATAATGGGAATCTATAGCATACAAGATAAACAATAAAACATGTGATCTTAGACTCAAGCTTGAGGAGTTTGCAAACTCTTCTCACACATATTGATTTAATGTGGTTTAAAGTTTGGAGATTTAGAGCCAATGAGGAAGAGAAGAATGACCAGTTAACTGACTCAGAGTAGGATGCTCAAACAAGGAAGCTGAAACCACTGAAGCAGATTCAATTACTTCACAGGTTTCAAATTTTTCCTTCTTCATTAAAGTCATAAGGTTTGTCATTAAGATTATTTTGAAGAACTGTGTCTGAAAGATGAAAAATGGGCAAGGAATATTGTCCAGTACTGAATTGATAGGACACTTAGCATACTTGCTGGGCCACAAATTATGGAGAAATGAGTTCTGGTTTTGAGGAATAGAGAATAAAGGATCACAGAATAACTATTTTGATTAGAAGCATTTACTTTTTTCTCCCTCTCCTCCTTTTTCTAGAAGGTCTAAATTATATTACTTTCTACAAAATGGAAATGCATTACAATTGAGTTAATTGAAGATGTTTTTCTTTTGTAAAAAAATTACTTTTGTAGATATAATACAGTTTTATTAGAAAATAAAGTAAGAAAACAATACCCCTAACAATGACATTACCCTTCTTTTGGCCCAAAATAAAACTTATTTAATTGGTTATATTTTAGCACAAAATATTTTGTGAATGAACTTATAAATAAGCTGCTTATATGATATGCCTACCTTTTTTTTTAAGTTTGAATATATAGTTCAGCAAAAGTAAGAAACAAATGAAATACACCAGGACAGAAAAAGAAAAACAAAATCAGAAAAGAAAAATGGAAACAGCCACTAAAATAATCACACTTGATTCAGAGGACCAATATGGTACTATGAGCCCAGGCCCGTCACAGACTATCCATGAAAAGTTAATGTTGACATACCCTATAGAGTGAAAGAGGACTTGTCAAGAAAGAAATTTCACATTTATAAAGGAAAATGTAAGACAGATCTGGCTCTGGAAATGTCAGAAATACATTCAAGACCTGTGCAGTACAAAGCTAGAGAAATTTTAAGGGGGAGGGACCCTAGAATATTTATAAGTATCAATGATAGTATATCATCATTAATACTTATAAAATATATTATTTGAACACTTTTGATTATACAGAAATGGAGATAAAACAAACAATAGGTCAAGAGTATAATAGAACAGAAATCTGGAAGTCCTAGCTTTCTCTGTCTCTTTGTGTCAGTTATTTCCCACCTCATCACACTAGTGATGGCTCT